TTGCACACAGTGTCAGAAATGGCAGCTTGCAGTACAGACAATCACTTTGCAAGCAGTATTTGGAACTAAGATAACAGTATCTTTTGGTAACATGTTGAAATGGTGCAATAACAGGTTGATTTATTTTTTATTTACTTGACCCTTTGATTATGTTTCAGCCTTTTTTTCCGGTCATAATTGGACTTTGATGATCATGACACTGGGTGGGCAAATAATAAAGATAACTATGACATTGATGGCCGTTGTAAAAGTATAACCACATAGGCAGCTACATTCTTACAGATTTATCCCTCTCTTAATAGTTGTCATAATTAATATGATAGGTTGCCGGATGAACGCAGAACAACACAAATGTGTACAAATGACATGTGAATGCACAGGTAATTAGCACTTATTAAAAGTGAGATGCATGGTTTGCAGCAAAATAATACATAACCACATTTGCAGCCACCCTGACACCAGTGACAGCACCGGAGGAAGACGTGTTGAAAAGGAGCTCCTAAAAATAGGTTTCTTTGTAGCCATGAACTTCGCTCAAGTGAAAAAGTGGGGAGGGGGGAGCTATGTGTGTGGAGATATTCTGGACGTTTGACATGAGTAATGCAGTTCCGACTCCTCCGATAGCTGTGGTCCGTCACTCTCGGGTTTTACTGTAATGGGCGCTACAAGGGCTCAGCCTTTCCCAGAGGTGGGAGGTCCACGGCCTATCGGCAGCAGGCTGGTAGGTATGTATGCTGTGCCTTACCTTGTAGGGCCATGCCTATCCTAACACTTCCTTACCACGTCTTTCTTCCCTGTGTTGTGGGATTCATGTGAATGTATATCACTTAATGCAGTGCAGTTATGAAGGCGATGGTTAGAAGGCAAGATGGCTAAATAGTGGTAGCAGAAGAAGTTACAGAGACCTGTTGTACTGAAATGAATACAGTTACCAATAGAAATACTTCATGTACTGTGCAGAATATGTTGATATTATAGTCTCCCTGTACTGACCTTTCTATAAAAGCTCAGTGTAGCCATATTATATTGTAATGTTGTAGTATGTTTTGCTTTTTTCAGTTTTTGTGCAAATGTTTTTCCTCATTATTACCATTGATTTTATTTCTTCCTTCATGACTTTTGGCATGTTATACTGATCTTGAAGGGTTTTTAAATGTCACGTTTTCTGATTAAATGTTATACTAATTTTTACAGTTTATACTAATGTATACTAATTACACAGTTTACCAGTAAATGCTGAAGGTCTGTGAGAAATAGGCAGAATTGATGATGAATAGCGTTGGAGTTGTTCAATATCATCTGAATAATGTCTACAATAACTGCTTTCCTCACGTGAACCCAGTAATATTAATAAAAGGCTCTATTTGTAACATAATTGTCATTTTATGAACATGAATGTACTTGCATCCAACAAAAATCCTTTTAATAAAATCCATTTACTCTTTCCAACAAAGGTTTTAGCAATGGTAAATTAAGCCTTGTATTCCTCCAGTGTAGCAGATGCTAAACAAATTAAGTATTTGTGCACAGTTCTCCTGGTATTGTTAAATTGTTGAACCCAGGCAATGCTATCTATTATAGGGAAGCTCTTTGAAAGTGTAGGTACAGTAGTGGGTAATTCAAATGAGAACTATACATGTAAAGTAACAGGATTATGACAGGTAAAAATCGGTACAAATCGGTTCTTATAACTTTTTAATTTTCAATCTGATGAATGCTTTTTAATCATTTTTGCCCTTGTTGACATTCAGGTTGAATGTCAGTTTTTAGTAACGCCTCTGCATTTGAAGACATGGCAGCAGGGGGCACGGACTCACAAAGAATCTGTATCCATGGTAGAACTTCACCGACATGGATTATTAATGATAAGCAGTAACTGTCACAGAAGTTTGAATAGTGTAATTACCGTTGAATCGTTTTATTATTAACATGATGATAACCATAGGCCTGTCTAAAGACAGTGCCACACTGTACGTTGATGTGTCTGACAGAATGATTCTGTGACGTGTTAATCTGTGCCTTCTGTGTGTTACAGTCTACAAGTCTCCGGAATACGAGTCTCTGGGCTTCGATCTCACTGTGGAACGACTGGTGTCCATTGGATATCCCCAAGAGCTCCTCAGCTTTGTCTACGACCCTGCGTTCCCTACCAGGTAAGGCCGACCTTCAAAGCCTTTCAAAGCCCTACATGAGGCATTTTCAACAATAATGGGAAATTCGTGAAAATACCCTGACATTTCTAATGCCTCCCTTATAATTTGTAATCCTCTTCCCCCAGTCCTGTTGTGTTACAAGTCTGTGCACACAACCGAGTATTTAAATTTCTGTCCTTTGATTTTTGCAGCTGGTCCTTCATAAA